TATATATATATATATGTAGTAGGCCTACGTACGTACGATGGAGAAAGTGTTTATAACTTTAGATGTTCAGTTGTCTTCCTCAAGGGTGCGCACGGAACTCACAAATTCAAATCCTATGGACATTTTGTCTTTTTTCTTGTTCTGTGCGTATTGTGCACTAGTAGTCTGAATTGATCAAAATAAGGGTTTACTGACCAGCAAAAACACGCCTGTGTGGCATGGAGCTCTGGCTGCCCTATCAAGAGTGAATCTAATGCGAGACAAGATTCAAAAGAGCATTTGGAATATTTTTCTTGTTAATGTTTGAAACAGCCTACTGGAAGAAAAATAAAATAAAATTCTACTCAGCTAACCCTCTTAAAACGGTTCTTACACAAGAAACAGTCAGCACTTTTTCACTTACACATTTTTATTTGGCAAATGCACATTTTCTACTTGACAAATACTTTGACAAAAAAGTACCATAAAATAAAACATCATCTCCCAACTCTAGCATCTTATAAAATCAAGAAATATGAAAATAAGGTTTCATTTAACCTTCATTAAGTGGGGATATTAATAGGTTTACAAAGAATAGCAGCCCAGATGCTCACAGGGTAAAAATTAATCTGTATATAAAATATGAAAACAATGCACTGATTTCTTTTCTTTATAAATACAATCCATAACTGTCACAACGTCAGAGGTACTTTCTTATGAAATGGCACAGAAACCAAAATTGTCTGCCAGTAAAACACTACCAGCTAAATGTATCTAGTTATAACAATTGTGAATAGTACCTTGTTGTCACAAGCGCAAAAATGGACTTTTCAAAGATGTACTATCAAACAAGTCAATGAACAACTGCTGTAATATCAGAAGATATATTATGTATACAAACAAGGTGGCCTGAAAAATTTGAAAAATTAAAATATCTTCTAAATAGTCTAAAAATGACTGCTCATCTTTTATTTTATTATAACTTTACAGTAGGCGTGCAAAATACCTATTAAATATCTCTCTTAATACAAGACTATATATGTAAACAAATTATACCAGTATAATTCAAAAGCCTCTTCACAGCAAAAGGCTTTTTAAAATATCTGTTTTAAAAGTCCACATTTTGTGTTCACACAACCAAAACATGCTGAACAAACAGAGAAAAATAAAACATACAATATTTATAATATACATTTGAGCTGTTTGTAACCTCAGTCAAAGCAAGACAAAGCTTCCAGAAAAGCATTATTTCTGGTCTTAATGGGGTCATATGATGCGATTTCAATTTTTCCTTTCTAGTTTAAGTATTTGCTATTGACTGTTCAAATGCGGAGTTTTGCGCATCGTGTGTGTGTGTGTGTGTGAGGGGAACAGGGTCACATCACAGGAGAGTGCACTGTCTGTCAGAAATCATAGCACGTCAGCTGTCTTGTGTACTGCTTCATCACCGTGTCTGTCACGCGACTCTGTTGCCCTTTCGGGCTTGAACTGATGGTAAAACTAACGACATTATTAACTGTCTTGATATTTACTTTGAATGCTTGAAGCTCGCGATTATGGTAAGGGGCGTTACATTTCCGACGCATGCTTGTGGTGTTCGGCCAATCACAATGCACTGGGTCAGCTGGCCAATCAGAGCAGACTGTGCTTGTCAAAGGAGGGGGCTTTGTTGAAAACGACGTGTTTGAGAGAGGCGGGGCATAGAGGACCTACAATAATGTACAGTATTTGAAAAATAATGTGTTTTTTGAACATTAAAGCATGTCAACATATTCTGTTACACCAAATACACAAAATAATGATCTTTAAAATAGCATCATATGACCCCTTTAATGGCAAAAACAGCAGCAATGCCAATATGTTTTCATATGGCCTGAGCACATAAATGATTGAAATGAAGCCACCCGCAACATACCAATTGACTGAATCACAAAATATCATTTACAAAAATTCCAGCAAGTTTTAAGTGGGTTTTAAGAAAACGGGTCTACAAAATGTTATACCAAATGTTATTTTCAATTACACTTTCACTCACGCAAGTATGACACTTTGTCACAAGGTAAAATTCTAATTGCACAATGTCGAAAAAATATTTAGACTTTATGCAGTTAAACTGAACAAAAAAGAAAATGAACTGATTACCATAACACTGGAAAACTTTCTATGCATTTGGGTGTAATAGTTTGGCCTAACAGTAAAAGGAAATACTGAACTGAAACAAACAAACAGCTCTGCCAAACATGCTGGTGTCCCTATGCAATCAACTACCGAATCAGAATGTTAAAAAAAAAAAGGCCTAAATCTTTATTATTTTGCTTTTGAATCCTGCAGCTATATACATTTTCTAAGCTGGCAGCATCCAAACCGCTGAAAACAAAGTGAAAAATTGAGCAAGACAAGGAAGCGAGGGAATCAAAACAGTATATTTTATTTTTTAATGTTATACTTAAATGTTATTTTAACCTTAAATTGAATAAATTCAGTGATGCCAATCATCATATCATATTCTTATTTTTAATGGAATATTGCACTATTTATTATAAAAGAATCTTCATTTAGTTTTTTTTACTTTCTAAAATTCATGTGCCCTCAAGTGCCATTAAAATATCTTCCCCTCCCTCTTGAAACAACAACTCGTCTCTTTTCTGACGATGCAAGAAATTCCCGTTAGACAAAATCAAGTCTCGTCCTACATTTTTTCTTATTCGAAAAACCGTTTTACTCTGATATAAGTCAAAATAGGGAAGAAAAGGCTAGCGCGACTTCCGATGCATGCCAAATTTAAACCATTTTGTAACTGTAACAAAAGCTATTTTTTAAACTGCATTTTTTTTTCTCTTATTTGTGCGAAAAAAGAAGATTCGAATAGCAGTTAAAATAGCGTGGCGGCAAAATTTCAGATTTCCCATCTATATAAATGTTTGTATGTACACTAAAAAATCAAACGAGAAAAACATACGGCATCACAATACTGTGATACTACCATATTGCAGAATCCCTGATTCCCATCATCTAGTGTCTATTAATGACAACAGTCCATATTTTGTTTGGTATGAGAACAAGGGCACAACTAAGTGCATCAACTAGGCGAAATGTGCTGAAGAGGACAGGTTGGACGCGTCTCCCCTGTGATCCAGTTGGTTTTGCATCTGTGTGATTTTGTCCAGAACCTCCAACTCCCGATGCTGCCGCTCCGTTTTGTGGCTGACCAGCGAACGGTAGAAATGCACAGCGAAAACAATGAACACCAAGCCAAAGGGCACCATAATGGAGGTAGAGGCGATCGCTGCAGCTTCCCCCGGGCTTATCCCTGGAGATCCAGTTACATTCCCTGTCGGGGCAGAATCTTTATTTTTATTCTTCAGAGGGAGGAACTTCACCCAGCAGAGAAGAACCACCTCTGCAAGAAAGAGGAGGGTGCCTATGACGGTGGAGAAGGCCCAAGCCAGCTCGATGTGGCGGTGCATGCGCTCGTGTGGCGATTCCTTTATGGAGTTGAGGTTGTGGACGTTGCTCACGGCCTCCAGGTTGGGCAGGATACATGTGCTGATCATCAAGGCAAAGAGATGGACGGCCACCAGCACTGTTGTGCAGGCACTGAAAGCAATCAATAAGCCTCGAGGGTATTCGTGATCATCCTCCAGCTGGACCTCCACCATCGCCACCTGAGAACACATTCATTGGTAACATAAGACTGAAAACAGAAAATCACAGATAATACAGGCAAAAACCTCATTATTTTTGCTACAGTAGATTGACGATTAAAACTTACAAAAAATACATTAAACATACAATGAAATACGTTCAAATAGCTAAACTGAGAAAAACATGCACAGCTGTGCTCCTCTGATGAAGTTACTTTACTGAAAAATACTCCTATAACTTTTAATTCGTTTTTTTAAACCAATCATTGGCTATTGAGAGTTTAATTTTGGCATACAACTAGAAATAAGTAGATTATTAAATTAAACTACATGGTAGTGCTATTTTAGCATCATTGAGATACTATTAGTTTTTAGTAATATTTTAAATAATTGTAAAATTTTTCATTATAATTTGTGTTAAAGTTTTAGTAATTTTGTGTTTTTGTTATTTTTTTACCTTTTTGTTTTAAGCATGTCCATGCAGTTTTTACAACATTTTTGTTTTAGTTTAGTTACTTTAGTGCATCCACAGTAAAACTAGCAAACTAAATTAAAACTCTGGCAAACCAGAAATAAAATAAATATGTTTTTTATGGTTTTAGTTTAGTTTATATTATAACCCTTCTACAAGGACATATATTGTTTGATTAAAACAATTAATGCTTGCTTCCAATCAATGTGTTTGTCTGAAATTGAATATGTATTTAGGTGTGACAGAGCAAATGGATTCAATAAACTTCCATTTTATCAATTTAAATTCATTGTATGCAATTAAAATTGTGACAAAATGTTCAAGAATTGTTTAGCATTAGCTCATTGTAACTAAATTGATCAAGCAGTAAAAAAAATATAGATTCTTTATTCCCTGCAAACAAGTCTCAATATCTTAATCTATTTGTAATTACGTAATTAAATATGTAATTTTACTGGTCTTGTTTTATTAATGTTCAAATTTATTTATTGAAAAACAAGACACAAATTTTGATTAAGAAAATAACTGCAGTGTGGCCGACAAATTTTAATTTGGTAAACAAACTGTTTTTCTCATGCTTTTGAAAACGCCACAGATCACATGTTCTCTGATTAATGAGGCCTGAAGGGAGCCCTACATGTTACATAGTGCCACAGATATGAAAATGAGTTTGGAAGTCAATAGTAGATTACAAAAGAAGTGCACTACTTTTGTAACAGTCAGTACAACTAAATACAAACACTACCCCTGCAATGTGTAATTATGTCGCATGTTCACACTGATCCCTAAGAGAGAGGAGTTTATGAAATGCAGTTTCCTCATGCCACTCATATTCAGCTCATTTCCTGTGCTGCGCTTATTGCTCATAGACTAACCTCAAGCACAATAATCACCCTCTGCAAGAATATTACACCTTTTTCCAGTCCCTTACACTTATTTCCGGAAACTTATAACACATTTCTGGTTCTTAGGTTAGTCGTGGGTCTATTCAACAGCAAAACTGTAGTTACAAAAACAAAATAAATAGGCTTATCAACTTTTAAAGGAGAGGAAACAATGCTTTCCGTATCTATTGTTGTTGAAATCAAAGGCTGTGCGTTCTAACTTTTCACATTTAGCAGTTCATTTTACACCCATTACTGAAAGTAATTTTATGTAAAAGATAACAGGCATATATGATTCTATTTCACGTTTATAATGTAATGGACTTATAGCCTATCAGTTTACTTAACATGACACAGTCAAAGGAAGTACATTTCCTCTGTGCAAGGGATCTTCCAGTAAACGGAAACATGTCACAGTGACGATACTGAGGCCCTTACAAATTTAATCATAACTGCAGCTGCTGCCAAAATAATGGTTAGCACAGTTAATGCTACTATACAGTTATAATTAATAATAAAAGACCTTCTCTCAACACAGTAAGATGCTTTTAATTTTTTTATATTAATGGTGGTCAATACAAGTTTCCTATAAAAATGTAGAGCTCACTGTTTCACTGTAAAAACAATTACTGCAGTAATGCAGATGTTATTTTACTGCAGTAATAATATTTAATTTATTTAGTATTTAAACAATTTAATTGAGCACAGTTTAGGTGTTAATGACTTTTTAAATTGAACGAATCGCTCTACTTTACTCCCACGCACTGACTCGAGTTGTTCCGTTCACTGAAGGCATTTAGGCAGATTGCATTATTTCCATCAATGACAGACCACAGCATAAACCAATAGCATTCGAGTCTGTATTGTGAAGGAACATTTCATTGGTTGCGCCTGCTGAACGAACACGCCCCCTTCACTGAACGAGTCGCTGTTTTGCAGGAGATTCGTTTTCGCGCTGAAAGAGGTGACTCTTTCGTAAAACTAACTGAATGAACTCCGAAAAATAATTATTAAATGAGAATCTACAGACAGACTGAATGACAGGGGGACTCGGAATTTGTAACTAATCTACTGAGTGAATTATTCAATGATTCATAAAACACAAAAAGACACTCTTGTCACCCCCTACTGGCGCGTACATGCAGAATCAAAATACCCACCACTGAGAGCGCCAACTAACACTTTTGAGAATTACACCGAAGAAGGACTTAAGTACAGTGCTAGTGTAAGAGGCTACAGTGTCTAGCTCTCTGGTTACGCTATATCCATGACAGGTGTTGTTTGCACATCAAAGTGACTGACATGCCATGCGTTATGTTACAAGGCTCTAACGTTAACTCCGAATACTTGCCAGGCTTCGAGCAATGTAAATTTCTCTTTTGCATACAGAGTGTTAAGTACGTTAATTACTTCATTAACTCACCATAGCAAAGCCGGAGAGCAGAGCAGAGGTTCTGCTGGTCGCTTTGAGTTTAGCTCTACTCAAGTAAAGTTTTCTCCAGGACAAAGCTTGAAGCGAGTGCTCGTTTGAACTCATTGCGCTTGTTTCCGTATAAGTTCAGAAGTTTTGAAACTTTATGCTTTAATCCCGAGATCGCCTTTTTATCTTCTTGATTACCCTTCGTATGTTTGCCGAAGCCCTTCAACCCGCTGTGACATGCTCAGATTGTAAAATGACTAACCCCAGTAACTCGCTCGACACTACAGTCTGTTCCATCCGAAACTACAAGTCGAGCTACCCACAATGCACCGCTGACGGTCACTGCGCTGATGACGCTTTGTGGGATTTGTGGTCCACAACATTTTTTTCTTTCTCTACGCGGCTCGATTTGAAACGTCATGTCCTGGAATTGTTTTTATGTTGCTGCAGTTAATGTATTTTGTATACCCTACTCTCATTCTCATTTACAAGCTTAATTCTCGACCCAACATAATTTATTTGCTTAGTGAAACCTACCAAAGGGCTAAACTTTGATCACTCATTTATTTCTGAATGTAGTTCTGCATTTATTTCTCCTCTGCACAACATGCTAATGAGAGGGTAGCATGGACTTGCTCGGGTCTTGTGATAGCTTGTGATAGCTGGGGGCGCGGCTTTCCCGCTGACAGGAGATGCATGGTGTAAATCCAGTATAGCCTAGTAAAGTC